TGGAGCACACCCAACGGCACGCTACCCGCCGGGCTCATCAGACGGATCCAACAGCGACTCCTAGTAGCCAGGCGAAGGGCCATACGCTACCTGGAGGAGGAACAGGGCCAGCGATTCCGGGTGCAACTGAACCATGACGACCACGTCCGGGTCTTCCCCACCCGGAAGTAAGAAGGGAGTGTGACGACACGACTGGTCGCCACAACCTTATTTTTTTTTTTTTTTTTTTTTTTTCGCGCGGGGTCCCGCTTCCACCTCCCGCCCAACCGACCGAGGGGCGCAGCCGTGTGACGTACGGCACGAATCGCGAACTAGATAGACGCGTTAGAAGGACAGACGAAATGTACGAGGAAACATTAGGAGATAATATAATAAACTATAAATATATAAATAAATAAAAACACATGCAAAATAATGATCTAATAATAAAAATATATAACCATAACCATAATTTAATAAATAAACAAAATATAAAAAATAAAAAAAAAAAAAAAAATAAAAATAAAAAAAAAAAAAACGCATGCAAAATAAGTGCTACTCTACGAGATAACTACTACAAGTCATGCAAGAATAAATAAATAGGTAAAATAAAAAGAAACGCATGCAAAATTAGACTACGGTGCTACACTACGAGCTAACTCTACAAGTATTAAGGTTTTTAATATAGAAGGGTTATCGCTACGAATTATAATATCAGAGAGGCGGTTGTAATCCGTACATAAAACCCTAAAGGGTTCATGTACTTCAAACTCCCGCCTACAGTGATTTACTACTAAAGGGATAAGGGTTCTAGATGTTAGTCGGGGAACGTGGAAGTTAAGCTGCCCTAAAAGAAAGGGGCTCTCAACCACACCATTTATAAGGTTATGAAGGAATACGACACCAAGCATTGTTCTACGGTTAGCTAGGGAGGGTAAGTTAATTAATAGGAGTCTACTTGTATAGGACGGTAGCCTCTCATCAGCATCCCAAGGTAGGCCACGGAGGGCGAAAAGTAAAAAGTTCTTTTGTACAGATTCAATACGGTTAATATGGATTCCGAATTGAGGACTCCAGACGCATGAACCATACTCCAATATAGGGCGAACTAATGAAGTAAAAAGGGTCTTCGTTATATAGGGGGAATCGAATTCCTTCGACCACCTCTTAATAAAACCTAGCATGCCTCTGGCCTTATTAACCGTGCACGAAATATGTTCAGAGAACGAAAGTTTAGGGTCTAAGCGAACGCCTAAATCATCAACAAGAGATATTCTTTCAAGAGCACAATCATTTAGCATATAAGTGGCAAACTGGGGAGTGACACGTGAAAATGTCATCAGCTTGCATTTAGAGCTGTTGAGATGTAATAAATTAGCACGACACCATGCTTGAAAGTTATTAAGATCCGATTGCAGGTCTGACTGGCAAGAGCTGTCCTTATACTGCAAGCATAGCTTAACGTCATCAGCGTACATAAGTACTCTAGAATTCGTTAGAACCAGCGGGAGGTCATTGATAAACAATGTAAATAGCAGCGGGCCAAGGTGGCTACCCTGCGGGACGCCAGAAATGACTCTGAGGAATTTGGATAGAGCATTTTTAAACAGAACCTTTTGAGTTCTGTCACTCAAATAGCTCAAAGTCCATTTAAGTAGATCGACAGGAAACCCGATTAAGTCAAGCTTCCTTACAAGAAGAGAGTGATTAACCGAGTCAAAGGCTTTACTGAAGTCTGTGTAAATCACGTCGGTTTGAAAGTTACGTTGGAAACCTCTAATAACGAAAGAGGTGAGTTCCAGAAGATTTGTAGTGGTCGATCTTCGCCTCATAAAACCATGCTGACATGGTGAAATTACGGATCTGCATAAATGCTGCAAGTGGGGAGTAATTACATTCTCGAAAAGTTTTGGAATTGCCGACAACTTAGAGATTCCTCTATAGTTGCTGGCGTCCGATTTGCTACCTTTTTTGTGGAGAGGAATGATAAATGATTCCTTCCAAATAAGGGGAAATTCTGAGGTTTCTAAAGATAAGGTAAACAATTTCAAAAGGGGATTGCACAGAGCTCCGGCACAATACTTGAGCACGCAGCCTGGTATTCCATCGGGACCCGGTGAGTAAACTGGTTTTACACGATGAAGATCCGAACTAAGGGAGCTTTCGGTTAAAATGGGACTGAAAATTAGGTTCGACTTGGGCAAATCAAAAGAGTAAGTCTGATCTGAGCTATTCGAGGAACAATACGTAGTTTTGAAAAACTCGGCAAAGAGATCGGCGATGGCCTGATCAGAGTTTGCTGTAGCGTTTCTGAACGAAAGCGATGAAGGATGTAAATTGGGTTTTCGCTTAGTGTTAACAAAGTTATAAAACTGTTTCGGGTCCTGCGTGAACTGAACCCTACAGCGAGTTAAATAACTTTTATAACATTGCGCATTTAGCACGGTGAAATTCGACCGAGCACTAAGATATCTTGAATGAACAGTGGGAGATCCGGTGCGTTTATAGCGATTATAAAGCCTAGACTTAACGTTTTTTAGGCGTGTCAGCTCTTTGGTGAACCAAGGTGGTTTACTAGAAACCGACGGATAGGCTAAAGGAACACACAATGCAAAGAACGAATTCATGGCACTGTAAAAAATATCCACGGCGGACGCCATGTCAGTACATCTGTAAAGTTCAGACCAATTAAATTGGGAAATCAAGATATCTAGCCTTTGAAAATTTGCTTTACGGAAGCAGCGAACTTTAGTTGCTGAGCAACTCAAATCAGGTTTAGTCTTTACGACAGTCCCCAAATCGATGGTCACTTCGAAAGTAGGATGGTAAGGGTCTTCGGGAAGCGTCAATGGATCGACTCTTGTTAAGTTTACACCTACAGGATCAGAGACGAAACACAGATCTAGTAGGCGATTTAAAGAATTTACGACATGGTTAACTTGGGACAACGAAATGTCAAGCAAACCATCTATGAGGTCATGCTGTACCGCAGTTTGGAGGACATTTGACGTACCATCTGATGACCAACGAGCTCCAGGTATATTGAAGTCTCCTAGAGTTATTAGTTGGTCTCTATCTGAAAGCCTGTTGGCAACAGCCTGAATTGCCGAAAGGTGTTTCCAATAAATGGGCTCTTCAGCAGATGGAGGAACGTAAGAACAGGTTATATAGATAAAACTACCTGGAAATGATAGTTTTACACAGATAAATTCAATACCTGTGAGATCATCTATTTGAACCAGTTCGGAACTAAGGGTGGAGTCAACGGCGATCAAAACTCCACCTCCTCGCTGGGAAAGACGGTCTACTCTATAAGTTGTGTACTTACCTGGGAAAATTTCGGAGCTGAAAATCTCCGGCTTTAACCAGGTTTCGGTAAACACAATCACCTGGGATGCAAACGAAAGACTATCAGAATACAATTTAGAGAGCTTGCTGCGTAAGCCTCTAGTATTCTGATAGGAAAGTAGGAGGGAGGTATTTAGTTTTTTGGCACTGCCGTGACGCCCGCGGTCGCTGTGGTTTGTGCCGGCCGTGAAGGCCGTTTTTTCTTTATTTTTACCTCGTACTCCTTGACTACAGCGTGCTCAGGCCAGAAGTCACCCGAACAAATTGTGTCAAAAAGATCGAAGGAGACACTTATCTTGAAAGATGAGATGTCTCTGGGGTATGAAAAGTTGAATTTTTCTATTTTCACATTATTGGCTTATATTTTGCTCTGTATATGAGCTTGTACATCTTCAGATGCGAGGTCAGGGGCAAGCCGAGAAACAAATATTGTTTTTAATGGTGGAATAGCGGTGAGGGTTTTTGGTAAAGGAACATTACCGACTTCAGCCATTTGAACGGCTCTTTTTTTGCCCTGTGGGATAGCTGAGATTTTTTTTGAAGTCTGCGGTGTCAGTGATTGAGACTCCGCAGCGGACTCAACTAATAAAACGGGCGGAGCTGCTGCCATTTCATTCCCGGCACGTTCGATTGCCGAATCTTTCGCCGTTCCCGATCTCAACACCATTGGAGTTGGTGTCGGTGCCGGGGGCTGGGCCGAGGGGGTATGCCAGATCGTAGGTTGCTGGGGCTCACCCAATTGCTGCCGACCAGAAGCTGATTTTTTGCGCTTTGGCGACTCACTTAACAGCTTCATCCCGTTAAATTGAGCGTCCAGCGCTGTGAACAGGTCGTTCGCTTTGCGAAAATTGACCCTAAGTTCATTAAATCCGCCCCTGGTCTGCCGCATGAAGGATAACATTTCCTTCTGAACCTCCCGGCAGGCATGGCAACAGTAACGTATGCCTTTATTGGCAGAAATTACGTCGGCGATACGGCCCGTTAAGTCGAGACACTTAGCGTGTACGACCGCATCGCAAAGCCAGCAAAAAAGGCTGGGCTGTTCTGCCAAAACTTCTTTTTGGCAGCCTTTAATAGCACAAACAGTATTCGACACCATTTTACACAACCTACAACCACGGTGCACCGATAAGCAGAGCCGAAACGAGAACAAAAAAACAAGAGAGCGGGAGCGTAAGCGTGGGTGAGCAGAGACACAACGAAAGCTTCGAACCGCCTAAGTGCAGCTAGACGCAGATAAACGGGACTACACAAAGAGGAGGCAGGAAAACGCAAAAAACTAAAAGTGATTAAATGAGATATATGTATATATTAAATAAACACTTAAAGACACATGCACATGCACTCGCGTAGCAAAACGGCAAAGTTATATATTGTATTTTAACAAGTTAAAATCTGGACCCCGGTGGTTTTTAAATGCAAAACAACACAAAAGTTCGGAGCGCAAAACAAAAACACGACCGTTCGCTATGAAAGTTCACGACAATTTTTGAATATATATATATGTAAATAATACCTTACAATTTAAGCTTAGACTACTTATGTACATATTATACCTAAAATTAAGACTAAAACTAAGCACACACACTCACACACACACGCGAAGGAGACAGAGCACGCTACAATAAGCAGGACCTGCCCAGAATACCAGAGAGCCGCCTAGTATATGCAGAATGGTTAAGTTTCTCCAGCTTAACCTAAACCACTGCAGAGCAGCCCAAGACTTACTGTCGCAGACGGCGATCGAGCAGAGAATCGACATCGCCATACTGAGTGAACCCTACAAGGCAAAACCAGAAGGAGTATGGCAGCAAAGCGCGGATGGCGGGGCTGCCATCTGGAGCTGTGGACAGCCTCCGGAACACCTATCGCAGAGAGCTTCGATACCTGGCTACGCCAGGGCCAAGTGCCAGGCGACTACAATATACAGCTGCTACCTTCCGCCGAGTATGCACATAGATGCATTCAAGGATGTAATCCAGGAGATTGCCCAAGACGCTCGGGGACGATCCCCGGTTTTCGGGCCGGGTCCATACGCACCCCGCTGCCCGATAACTACCTGCGCGGCCTCGTCACCGAGCCAGTCACCGCCGACCACGTCACGCGGATACCACGCCGCCGTCGCCCCACGCCAGGTGGATGGGCCATCGGCAAGCCAACTCTTTGACTTGACGACCGACGAGGACTCCGCCGACGAGAGGCCAGCCGTGGCCGTACGAAGCCGCCCCCCGGGGACTTCAACGCGTGGTCCACCACGTGGGGGAGCACGGCAACAACTCAGAGGGGAACCGCCTTACTAGATGCCCTGGCGACCCTGGATGTCTGCCTTTTTAACGACGGAGGCAAATGCACATACAGCAAGGCAGGCTGAGAATCAATTATCGACCTAACCTTCGCCAGCCCGGAGCTCACTAGGAACGTCTACTGGGAAGTCACTGACCTCCTCACCTACAGCGACCACGCAGCGATAGTGATAAAGACGAGTCACTCCCTGCCGAGCCTTCTGAATCGGCAACCTGCCTACAAAGTAGGCACTCTAAATGTCGAGGAACTCCTAGAAAACATGGATGGCAATACCATTTCTGGCGACGCAAACACTTGCGCAGACGAGATATCTGCGAGGATCAAGACAGCTTGCGATGCGGCAATGGAGAGCAGTGATGTCATTTCCGCTTTTTTCCCGTCAAATTCAGCTGTTTTTGAAGTATGATTGTTGGAAAATTTTTAAAACAGCGAGCAGCGGGAATTCCAGCTTTTTTAGAAAATTGAGATGCTTTTTTCTTAATTTTAATTTTAATGCATTTTAAGTGCTGTTTTAAATGTGTTTATTGTTTTAAATTTATATTGCAACATTATCTATATATATGTCGGAGATAACCGTTCTTTAATCCCACCGTAGTCGAGCTAGCCAGTTCTGTTCGCCTGCGCAGTCAAATCGTATCTGTCATCACGCCACTTTTCCTGTGGCCCTTTCACCTTTTCTTACTTTTCACTCATACGTCAATTCTAGACAATCTCAAGCTGTCTCTGTCACTCTCTCCTATTGTTGCGACAGACGAACAGACCTCACTCAGTAACATACAGTCTTCTGTCCTTGTCCTGTTACCGACTCAACTGTCATTGCGCCTGCGCGCCAGCGACACCTACAGGGCTACCAATACCTGAGCATGCCGAATAATTCTGTTGCAACAAGCATTCCAAATTTGCACTTATCAACTAACTTTCCGACATATACTTAAATCGAATAACATCATGCAAAAGTCCACACCTATATTTGGCGCGTCTTCCATGATGCCGTTACGGCATTATGATGACATAAAACTAATCCCAATGCAAAATGTCGACGACACTGTTAGCTTTTGGAATGAAGTGCTAACTTACAAGGACAGTGGTGGAAACGTTTTAAGGGACAGGCATTAGTTGCATTAGAAACGCTGACCCTTCCCTGGTCAAATGCCGAGGTTTTTCGGGTGTTCAGCCAAATTAAAGCCTAGTAGTACTAGGCTAGAACTCTGACGACGAAAATCCGCTGTAACATGTGTTATAGCAGAATCGCTGAATATTTTGCTCTGTAACCAGTGTGACCAAAAAAATTAAGGAAAAGCCATGAAACGTCATGAAAATGTACCTTTTATAGCGTTTTGGGCTTTTCTTTGGTCACACTGGACAGTAAACTGTAAACGAATTTGTTAATTAATATGGCATAAAAACGCCCTTTGTGGGTTAAATCCCATATAATGGTCTTCGCCTTGACAGCCCTTATCAATGCCACTTTTTTCCTTAAACTTTCCTTCCATTAGGAGTGTCAGAATAAATAAAATGAATTATTGCAATAGCACCATATCAGCTGTTTGCTCTCTTGATCTGGCAACGCCATTCAATTTTCGCAGGTAACATTTTCGTCATCAGAGTACCGGCAAAATCGACGAGGCAAAAAGTTCTTCTTCTTCCTTTTTTCACAGAGTCTTTTTTATGGAGTTTGGCCGCTATCACAATTGTTACAGCGGATTTTCGTCGTCAGATTAGGCCTAAACAAACAAAAAGTGGTTTTTAAAAAATCAGCTTTTTTCTTAGTTTTTTTCTGTATTAAATTCCGCTTTTTTCAGCTTTTTTTTTTTGTTAATCCAGCTTTTTTTGCTAAAAAAAAATGACATCACTGATTCAATGACCCCTATGTTACAAAAACGTTATATACTTCACTTGTTCGTCCTATCTTAGAATATGGATCCTGCGTTTGGAGCCCTCAGTATGGCGTCCATAGTAAACGCATAGAATCGGTTCAAAAGAACTTCTTACTTTTCGCTTTACGCGGTTTAAACTGGGATGCAAACCAGAGGTTACCGTCTTATTCTAGTAGACTCTTACTAATTAACTTACCCTCCTTATCTAATCGTAGAACCATGCTAAGTATTACATTCTTATACAACTTAATCGGTGGTGACGTGGAAAGTACTGACTTGCGCGGTCAGTTAAATTTTCACGTACCAATAGGAAACACTAGATCCTTTTTACCATTAGTTTTGCCCCACTGTAGAACATCCTTTGAACTGCATGAACCCTTTAGAGTCCTCTGTGCAAATTATAACGAGTTGTACACGATAATATCTAACGTTGATAGCCTCCCAAAACTAAAAACTTCAATCTTGACCTACTTAGTACGCATGCAAGCAACCAATCCGGCAATACGCCAGTAGTAGTTTCCCCGCATCCTTTTTTTTAAGTCCTTCGCGTTTACTAATTGCTAACAGAACAAGCACGTGCTTGGTGTCGCAAGTTCCACTTGATATGTACTGTACATAGTGCATCAACGTCTTGCATAAAAAAAAAAAATTCGTTTCGCGAAGAGGGTGCCCTCGACAAGTTCAGTCGGACAATGGGAAAACCTTTTTGGTGCAGCCGCAGTGCTTTCACGTGAATTTCTGCAAGCTGTCAAGGAGTCTGTGACGAATGCTTATAGTCACCAGGAACTCCTTTGGCAATTCATACCCCCAGGAGCCCCGCAAATGGGAGGATTGTGGGAAGCTGGAGTTAACAGCTTCAAGACGCTGTTTTATAAATTGTTGCATTCGGGCGGTAATCGATAGCCGCAGGCGAAACAAATATCGTCTGGGATGCGCACCGAGGCTAGGTTGGCAGGGCCAGGAAGAGGGGAAGTGGATCGCATCTCGAGCGCCTCATGCGATCCACACCGAAGGGGAAGTGTGGGAAGTATGTGCCGATCGCGAGAGAGGCTAGCTACACCCACACCGAGGTACCAAAGAGTACTGGCCTTGAAAGCGGTTCTCGACCCCGGGAGAGAGAGGCAAGAAAAGTGGGTGAAGGAATTGGTGGGAACCGAGCCTATATAGGGCAAGGTGACCGCTAATGGCGGCCAGTAGGGAAAACGGAGCCGAAATCAAACCCAAAATTTTTCGACCGAGAAAAAAAAACCGCAAAGACCCGGAAGAAAAAACCGCAAAAACCCGAAAATATAAGCCTGAAAACCGAAAAATAGTGACGGGAAGGTGAACCAAATTAATATATATATATTTCGGACGGGAGTGCGGGAAATAACTAAGAACAAAAAAAGGAGGATAAACGGAGCCGGGAAGCCACGAGGGTGACCAGGAGCCGGTCACGGGAACCCAAAAGAAGAAAAGAAGGGAAACAGTCAGGAAGGAAAAAAAAAGTGAGTCCGTTCCAAAGGGAACCAGCATGAATATAAACCAAGACACGTTCACAGGGTCCTGTGCCTTCCGGAGGCAAAAAAATCGTGTTCTTCTCCGTTGTTCGCCACGCTACTGTCTTCATCGTCGTTTGTTAAAATTTTCATATTTTCTGGTATTGTTTTGCCCATGTGATGTGCTGAATAGATAGGAATAAAAGTTCGTTAATTAGTTATACGTCCAAATTAAATATGTATTATCTAGTAAATTAAAACATGTTTATAACGATGAGTTGCTAAGCGTTTCCGATTGGGGGGGAAAAAGATGACGAGACCGTAGTCAGGAGTAGGCCGGCGAAGTCCGCCTGCCAAGGGGAGATCCGCAGAAAATGAGGGTCCGGATCTCTGGAAGGGAGGGGCGTCCAGGGCGATTCCAGCCAAGCCCAAGCCTACACTCCGAGAGAGGAGAAGAGAAAGATTAAGTAAGCGGTAATTGTTGTAGAGTAATGTAATTTGTTTACCTTCTTGTCGTTCCTTGTTTTTTTTTATTTGTTTTGCGGATTCCAGATCAGCTGGGATTTATGGTGCGACCTGCGGGCGAATGGGGAGAAATCCCCCCTGAGAGGAGAGACTGGCTAGCCGGCCTTGCCCCATCAAAAAACTCAGGTCGTAACATAATGGCGCCCAATCATCAAAAGGTAGCGAGGTGGCGAGCGTCCGAGAAGGACAATCGCACCCACAATGCTGTTGATGAAAAAAAAAAAAAAAAAAAAAATATCTTCTAGCCGATGGCTGAAATCCAGGTGGTCCGGCTGTCCAGGTTGGAAAGCGATGCGATGGCTTATGTCGGCGGTTCTGAATGTCGTGCATAATAGCTCGCCGCAAGAAAACCTGGGCGGCTGGAAGAGAAAAAAACCACAAAGTAAATGTCCAAATGATAAGTTTTGTTTTGTCAAGAAACTCACCTAAAATTGGGGATTCTTCCACAGGAGAGGGATGGCACTAGCGGCGAAAAAAACGTCAGCTAGTAGGCTCCTTTTCGTTGCCTGGTGGACGAGGGAGGATCTCCAAACAATGGATGAAGACGCAGCAGGCTCCTGCCGGTTGCGACGCGGATGTGTGCGAGGAAATGACTGTTCTGCGGGTGGCCCATGGGGACACAGGGTTCACCATGCGATGCATCCGGAACGGCCAAAGAACTCGCAAACACATCCGCGGCACAATTGGACAGGAAGCCCACATAGAAGTGAGCGCCCTCGATGCCCTATCTTCCAAGCAGAAGATAGTGGATCCGACGGAGCTCGCAGTAAAATAACAATTGATCTCGGAGTGGGCAGGAGACGCGAAAAAGCAGGAGGTAGTTGGCTCCGGCAAGGCGTCAAATCTTTTTCCCCCTTTGTTGTTCAGATAGAGTTTGTTTTGTTGTGTTGCGTCTAGAGAAAAAAATCAAAAGCGTGTTAAGTGTTAGGAAATAAAAAAGAGTAGCGATAGGAATAGTATAGGTGAATGGTCCAACCATACAATTTGCGGTCTAGAGCTGGGAACATGACCACTAGAACTCCCTCGAAGGATGGTCAGCAGGGCCGAGAGGAGGAAGGCGCAGTAGGAGGCGCAGCAGGCGGTGCAGCAGGGGACAGCTGGGATATCCCCAGCGAT